CCCTGTTACAAAATTAAAAAAAAAAAAAAAGGCACAAAGGTGACAGGCCCCGGGGATCTGATCAAGCCTGGGGCGAATCAGAGTCACTAGTGCCCTGCAGTTCTGAGCTGAATCGGGCACTCCGAAGTCACCGGAAGCCCTCTAGGTGGCACCAGGAAAGGAACGTTTGGGGAAACTCAAATGCCCCAGGGTGGCCTTCCCTCCCTCCAACCCCGACCTCCCCAAGGGGCCTTGCAACAAGGTATCTCTTCTGTGTGTGTCCACATCCTTCTCTCCAGAGGATTGCTAGAAAGGCTCTAACCCAGTTCCAGGAGCTTCGGGCACCAGATGGCAGGCATCTGTAGAGGGTGCCTTCCCACGGTGCCCAGGCCACCCTCCCAGGCTGGAGTGGGGTGGGTCCTCGGCTCTCTGCCCTGCCTGGGATGGAGGTCTGAGTCAGCCGGTGGACGAGTTGCTGGAAGAGCAGCTTGCCCTTTCTCCTGAAGGCCCCTGATCGCCCGAAGCCACCTGTCAGCTCTGGATTTGTGGTCTGGCAAAACCACATGTGCTGGAAAGCCTATTTAAAAAACGTACTGGGGAGCCTGGGTGGATCAGTTGGTTAAGCGACTGACTTCGGCTCAGGTCATGATCCTGGAGTCCCGGGATGGAGTCCCGCATCAGGCTCCCTGCTCAGCGGGGAGTCTGCTTCTCCCTCTGACTCCCCCCTCTCGTGCTTTCTCTCTATCTCATTCTCTCAAATAAATATATAAATAAATAAGTCTTTAAAAAAATAAATAAATAACGTATTGTATGCTACCAAAACTTACTAGAGGCAAATATACTAAAACTGAAACAGTGATTGCTTTGATTGGTGGGATTATGGATTTCTTATTTTATTCTTCACATTCTCTGTGTCATTTGCATTACCGGAGAAAAAAAGATATTTAGAGAGGCCAACTGATTAGTTCTGACAGACTGCTTCCTTCATTTTGCATTCCCCATAGCCACAGAGAGCCGAGAGGGTCTGGCCTGGGGCCTGGGAGAGGCCTGTGCTCTGGATGCACCATCCGGCTACCACTCGTCAGCTGAACGACGGATGGTCCCGAAGGAGCCCAGTGGCCGTGTCACCCAGTGACAAGAGCCCGGACTAGCCTCCTCCCCCATCCTGCAAGCTCAACCTGCTCTCTCCCTCGGAAGTCAAACACCTGCCCGTGGTGAACGAAGTGGCCAATCCCAATAAGGGTGATGAGTGGGGGGGCCCGACCAACTTGCTGGACAGCGGGTGACCCCTTGGGAAACCCTGGACCTAATATCTCTGACACATCACTTCCCCAGCTTCTTTTTCTCACCTATAAAGTGTGCATTAGAGGTTTCGAGAATTTTTTAAGCATTGAAATCTCTTTTAAAAAATAAACCCAAGTGCAATAAAATCAGAGGTGCTCTGGCTGAAGGAAGGGGATGGAGGAAGAGGCAGAACCCTGCTTTCTTGTCCTCCCCAGCGGGAGCCCCTGACATCCTCCCAAGGAACTAAGACGGTACGGAAGTCTCAGGACCAGATGATCTCTCAGGTCCCCTTGGGCACACAATCACTCCTTAATTCTTCAATTCTCTGAGGCAAGCTTACCGGTCCACAGCGATGACCCCGAGTGTGAGCATGCTGGCCGAGCTGATCAGCAGGTACAGGAGGGCCGAGAAGTTGCACCAGACCACACCAAAGATCCATTCCCTCCGAATGGAGCTGGTCGCCACGAAAGGCAGCACCAGCACGGACAGCAGGAAGTTGGAGAGCGTGAGGCTGAAGACGAACTTGTTGCTGAGGGTGAGGAGGTAGGACTTCTTGTACAAGGTGACCACGATGACCAGGTTGCCCAGGCAGACAAAAATGGTGATGATAATGATGGTGATGAAGTCGGTGATGACGGCGCCCCCTTCACCACCCTCCTGGTCCGTGAGGTTGCTCAGCTCCTTCCTGTGGCCGAGGGAGGAGTTGAGGTTCATGGTCAGGGCACCTCGGCGTGCGGTGGGCAGAGCATGCCGGACCACTGGAAAAAGAAGGTAGGACCAAGCGGGCAGGGGAACACTCATCAAATCCCATCATACGCACTTGACACGAGAGCAGCAAGAGACCCCAGTTCTCCCGTCAGTCCTGAGACCCTTAGCCAGTCTTCCCCACTCAAGCTCCACCACAGAGGCCTGTTTTCTACAACCAACTTTGTGTATGACTCCCTGGGTCTCCTTGAATGTGTTCCTCCAATCTAATCCAACCTGTTCACATGCCCCGAAACCTATGATGTACTGAAGGAGAGCTGATTCTTGGGCCCCGCCCCAGAGATGCTGGTCCCAGAAATCAGAGGTCCAGACAAGGAACCTGCACTTTAAACAAGCAGGGGAGAGGTGGGCTGGGCTGCTTTGGGGCCCCTGCAATTCAGGGAGGTCCCCGGACGAGCAGCGGCAGCAGCACCTGGAGCCACAGAGATGGAGAAGTTCAAGCTCACGGCTGACCTCCTGGCCCAGAACCTGCATTTTCATCCCATCCCCAGTTGATTCGTGTGCCCGTTAAAGTTCAACAGTGAGCTTATCATAGGAACTTTCTGAGGTCCCTGAGCAACAAGTTCAATTCATACTGAGGCAACATCGCTGCTCTTGTCAGCCATGTGGAAGGCAGGCAAGGACCCGAGCACCGAGTATAAATAGGTACGAGCAGGCACAGTCTGAGGTCTTGGCCCACAGACACCACTCTCTGCAAGGTGCAGTCCCTGCTTTCAGGACACTGGCTCAGGATCTTGGCTAAACCTGAAGGCTAACATCTTAACATTCAAGCCTGCAGAAGCATGTTTCTCCAAACATTTCATCTACTTTAAGCAGCCAAAACATCCCACAGACGCTTCCCCCACCTGCTCTTGTTCCCAATAAACAGAAGACACCAGAAAGAAGGAAAGCTTTCCTTCCATGAGCCAAATGACAGGAACCCTGGTGCCTAAACTGTCCACACACAGCTGCAGAGCCTTCCCCGCCATCCCCCGGTTGATCTGACACCGCTGTCCAAACACCTTTGGCCACAAGGAGCTGGTGGGCTGAGGCAGCCTGTCCCCTTCCAGCAGTCCTGAGTGCTGGGTAGAAAGCTTCCCTTTCGAGTGAGCCTGCTGCTGGGGGACTGAGGCCCGGTGGCTTGAGCAACACCAAATAATCCTAATCCCTCCTCCACTTGAGCCTTTAAATGCTTCACAAGTGACTTGCTTTCCCTTCTCCAGATTTAATCTCCCGAGTTCCTGAAATGACTTTCAGACTCTTCACTAATTCAGACTCCCTGGTTTGGACTTGTTCGCAGACAGCTATGACCCTCTTGATTTGTGGTCCCCAAAACTGAGTGTACCATTCCGGATGTGGGCTGGTAAGTGTGGAGCACAAGGGGGCAATTTTCTCCATCATCAGGATAATCTCCTCCTACTATTCACTCTAAGAACACATTTTCTTTCAGCAACCATATCATCCTGTTGGGCTTTTCTAACTGTGTGGTCAACTAAAACCCAAAGCTTATACAAATATGAATTTCAGTGAAGGCAGGAGTCCCCAGTCTAAAACTTATGGCATTAATGTTTTTAAGCCTAAATTCAACACATTATTTCTACTAAATTTTATTTTGTGCATTTTGGTCCATATTTCCAGGCTGCTGAAATATTCTGAATTTTTATTCAGTTATGCAATATCTTAGTTACTCCAGCTCTGTGCGATGAATATTCTTTATAGGTATGCCTTCTATGTCTAAGGCTTTGTAAGGTTATTTCTGGGTTTAGTCTTTATTTTGTGAGTTCTGAATTCTGAATTTTGTTAATTCTTGTAAGTAAACTACTGGGGCGCCTGGGTGGCTCAGTCAGTTAGGCGTCTGTTTTGGCTCAGGTCATGATCCCAGGGTCCTGGGATCAAGCCCTACATCAGCCCCTTCTCAACAGGGCAGTCTGCTTCTCCCTCTCCCTCTCTCTGCTCCTGCTCTCTCTCACTCTCTCTTTCTCTCAAGTAAATAAAAAAAATCTTAAAAAAAAACTCTTATAAGTAAATTATTAATTGGTGTCTCAAAATAAAGGTCCTACATGAGCGTATTATTAACTGCGCAAGTGGTAACATGGTGGTAAAGAAAACAGACTTTGAGTCATTAAACAAATGACAAAATGGGAGAAAATATTTACAATTTATGTCTCAGAGGAAGGACTAATCATTCTAATTTATTAAGTAAGTCCAAAAAAAAAAAAATAGAAAAGATGAGAAAGCAGAAAAGTGAGCAAAAGATATAAACAGAAAAAAAGATGTAGGTATCTGAGGACATCAATGACATCGATGTTAACTAAACTTATTGTGGTCATTTCGCAGTATACACATCCGTCCAATCATTATGTCGTACCCCTTAAACTTACATGATGTTATGTGTCAGTTTAGATCCCAATAAAACCAGGCACAAAAAGACATAAACAGTTCACAGAACCAGATATACCAATTGTACTTAAACATACGAAAAGATACCCCATGTCAGGGAAAGTAAGAGAAATTCCCACAAAACTACATGAGATACCATTTCCTCCCCCTTCACGGCACTAAAAACTCAAGCATGGCATCCCTCTCTGTTGGTGAGGCCATGGGGAAACGGGCATTCTCCACACTCACTCACACTCCGCATATGAATGCAAAAGGGAAGAGCCCTGTGGTGGGGGGTTTGGCAATATCTAACAAAGCTCCATGGGCATGTACCCTTTGACCCAGCAATTCTACTTCTAGGTAACTGCCTGAAGATGTAAGTTCATAATATAAAATAACAGATGCACAAAGTTATTCCGTTCATTAAGGCACTAGTGGTAAAAAAAAAAAAGTGGAAAAACATGAGAGAGGGAAAATAAAATGTGCATATTCATCTGCATATAAATATGTACAAATACATGTTTACTTATGCAAAAAGAAAAATAGGAAAGATAACCAGAAATCAAGATATTGATAGAAGTAAAATTTCTCTAAGTATTTTTTTACAGTTTTGATTTTTGAACCATGTGAATATTTTATACACTAAAAAATTTTAAATACAAATGGATGCAAAAGGTAAACAAAATTATTGCAAACAGAAAAAACAAGCCTAACTGTATGTTAGATTGATAACATAACCATAGGGAGAAAAAAGTTGTATCAAGTAGCTTTTAAAATACAGTATTTTGATTGCAAATCGTTAATGGTATATATTCTACGGACCAAAGAACTACTAAGTTTACTTAGTAGGCTTGATGTTGTTAATGGTGTTGTAATTTTACAACTATTTTGAATGTGGAGCAAGTGAGTCTACATGTTTATGGAGAAAGGAGGCACGGATTACAGAACAGGGAAAGGAAAGGAAGGACCCCATGGTGTCAGGTTGGCTACTGGAGGTATCAGTGTGAACTCCCTATTCAAATATACAAAATCAGATCCAAGGAAATTCCCCGGAATACAGTCAGAAAGATTAATAAAGTGAAACTATAGAATAAAAGGCAAATGAGAGAATGAATAGCAAGTGCTTTATTACTCAAGCAAAGCAGAGTGTTTTTCACTTATTAAGGGAAGCACATCTGGCAAGATGGTGGACTCAGCCGATATGAACATCTTTCCCGCTCCAAATTCACTGAAATGCTGGGTTAAATATGACCCAAGGTTTTAAAAAGAAAAAAAAGAAAGAAAGAAAAAGAAAAACCAAGAAACAGAAATCCATAGGTACCAGAAACAAAATTCAAAGCCAGAGTTATAATCCCACACCTGTGGCCAGAAGAGTATCAGACCTAGTTCAAGACCCCTAGGGCTGAGGTTTTTTATGTGGGAGGGTGACTCTGAGCTCCACAGGCAGAGAACTGGAACCAATACCCTGCATAAACAGTGGGTTCTAGAAGGGCATCCCCCTCCATGAAAAAGGGATTAGAAAAATTCCTCCCACTGGCAAAGGGAAGCGGCAAAAACACAGTCATTTACCCGAGGCTCTGGGTGGAGCATGAAACACTTTCTTCCGTGAGAAATCAAACATTATGTGCCATGCTGATGCAGGTACCAAATCCATGCATTCTGCGTGGGGCAGAAATCCAAACTAATAAATCCATGTAAAAATTAATGCTGACCAAAGTTAAGCATAAGATGGCTCTGTAGTGAATTTCCACATTCAAAAAACAAACACTCGATGAAAGTGAGTGCACAGCATTCACGAGGAGGGAGAGTCAACAAAACAAAAAGCCGAACTGACATTCCAAGAACTTAAATTAATAGAAAAAGATGAATAAGACTGTAAAACAAGTACTATTAAAAGCTTTAAAAAAAGGGGGGTAAGAACCATAATGAAAGAACAAGACGTCATGAAAAAATGGTAAGCAACTGTGGAAAAGAATCAAATAGATATTCTAGACATTAAAATTTTAGTTGTCAAAATTAAAAACTCAGTGGTTATGCTGAATGACAGATTTAGCTAAAGAGAAAGATGGTAAACTGGAAGACAGCTCTGAGGAAATGACTCAAAATGTAATTAAAAAGATTAAACTGAAAATATGAAAAGCCAAGATTCATAGAGGACACGATAAGGAGATCCAACATAAGTTCAACAGAAGGGCAGCAAGAGACTGAAGAGAATGTGGGTAGCAGACGCTGCGTGGGGCCTACCCAACTACCACTCTGGGTTTTCTTACTGGCAGAGTTCTGACTTTGTTTTGGTGTAATCCTCCAGTGACTCAGAGAAGGTTGATCCTCCCTACTTCTGGAAGCTAGATCCTGGTTGGTCTAAAGTAATCACTGTGTCCCTTCTCCTGGCAAAGTAGCTGGGAGAAGTCTGGGGTTGGTGGGGGTGGAAATGGGGTATCTGGGGAAAGTTGCTCTGATCTCACAAAGACACTAGGAAGAGAAATCTCTTCCGAGGGCCGTAACGGCGAAGAAAGCACAGAGCTGTGGCAGCCATCTTGGGATCTTTAGAGGTGCTCAGGCAGCATGGTGAGCATGGCAAAGAATGGTCGGTCCTCGGGCTGCTGAATTAGCAAACCTTCAAGTCACTTCATCC